ATAAGTTCAATTGAGAAAAAATAAAAAATGTTGAGAATGGGGGAATCATTCTCAGCCTATCATTTACTTTTGCCGCTAAACCCTCCATCGTACCGGCGAAAAAGGGGAAATGAATACACATGTGCTTTCCAACCAAACATGTTTCCTTAAACTATGCTAATCTTTACCTTAATATATAAAAAAAACATTGTTTTTTTTTTTGTTTTTTTAAGGAGCTATTTTTATCGAAATAACTGTTTTAAATATATCAAAATTCATAATTTTTTATTCTCTATAAATAGACATCCATATCGATATAGTTTTAGGATAAAATAAATTTTTTTATTTTTTTTATAGTTTCAGCTCTCGTTATTCGTAAGTGAATAAAAATTCATCAGATTTTATTAAAATACATTCGTTAATCACGTATGAAAAAAAAATATGATTAATTTTTTACAGTTTAACTATCATTCATATATGAATGAAACATGTATTAGCTTTTCTCACAAGTTATATTCATATATTAATAACACATTTATCAGAATTTTGTTACAGTTCATTTGTTATTCATATACGAATAATAAGTTCGAATTTTCAAAACATTTCGTCTTTTATTAACATACTACTTATTCATATATAAATAACAAATGAACTATAACAAAAATCTGATAAATGTTTTACTCATATATGAATATAACATCTAATATTTAATATACGTTTTATTTATATATGAATATAACATGTGACGAAAGATTATATAAAAAATATTTTAGGTAAGAAAACTTTATTACGTGTTATATTCATATATAAATGATACTTAAAACTGTAAAAAAAAACTAAGCGTAAATTTTATTTATAAGTGAATAACGAATGTACTATAATAAAATTTTGATATATTTTTATTCTATTATGAATAACGAGAGCTGAAACTATAAAAAACATAAAAAAAATTATTTTATCTTAAAACTATATCTATATGGATGTCTATTTATAGAGAATAAAAAATTATGAATTTTGATATATTTAAAATATATTTTTGATAAAATAGCTCTTTAAAAATTAAAAAAAAAAAACAATGTTTTGGTATATATTAAGTTAATGATTAGCATAGTTTAAGGAAACATATTTGGTTTGAAAACACATGTGTATGCTTTGCTTATTTCCGTCGGTACGCCCAAC